TTTCAGCAGTTCTCTCCCTCTTGGAGTGATGAGCCTGGATCCCCATTGCGTGTGTTTGGCATTGTAGCAGTCTTATAATGGCAACTATAGTTGTGATCGTTTCAAAAATAAGTATATTTTGTGCCGTTTTAATTATTTTTTTTCTTTTTTGAAACATTCATTAGTAGGGGAGTTTGTTGGAGTGATTGACTGGTTGGAACCAATAAGTATTTTAATATTTTTTCTCACTCTTAAAACAACTCACACTTGTGAAAAAACTCACAAGACAAAGTCGCAGATTGAAGCTACAAAGAAAAAATAATAAATATTAAAAAATAAATAAATGAATGATAATGGGTCATTTCACTCGTAACGGGAGGGACCACACAACGGTGTATTTTCATGCGGTGGACCAAAACAGGAGCGCAGCGTCTAAATAGAAATACCATGAAAAAATTGATATGATTTAAAAAGACAGTAGGTACATAGTCAGTCCTCATTTTTAACATTTGGTCTGGAAGCTTTTCTGAGAAAATGGGCTTCGTCGACATACTATTACTCCGACGCAGTGACTTGCTCGTCGAACAGTTTCTTTTCTCCAGCTTGTGTATCCCTCGACGCTGTATCTCGTCCTTCCAGCACCAATAGTCTTCATCTTCCTCTTCCGTGTTCGTGCAATTACCACTTTAATTCCAATTCAATTGGTATTAGTTTCTTATGTAATTTCACTTTTACTTAATAAGGACTGTAATACCACCAAATAATTCATGAACATTTTCATAAAAGCTGAAAGAATATTCCTTTCTATTACCACGTGCCCACTAGATAAAGTGCAGGCAACACGTATATCACGTTTTCATGTCCTTTAAGAATGTCTCAAACTAATTAAATCAATAACTATGCTTCATATTATATTTAACAAAAATTACTTCTTTCTGAACATAATTGATCCTTGTCAGGTGAAAAGCGATTTGTGGCCTTTTGGTGGTATGAAATCAAAATAATTTATTTTACAATATTACGACCAATTATATAAAAAATTAGATTTTTCTAAGAAATAATCTACAGTAAAAGTAAATAAGTTAATTAATTTCAAGCACATCACTCATCGTAATCACTTGAAAGAAAGTTGTCATGAATAATTATTTATTCACGACCCAGGGTTAATCCAGGTGATTCCCTCTTTTTGTTTTAGATATGCATCTGTCCACAAGAAATTGTTATTTCTTGTGATTTCCTTTTGTGAAGTTTCACAAAAGTATGGTGACAATGTGGAATAATCTTTCAGTTGCTGGATATGTTTGTTGTTTTCACTTTCATTCCTTTTGAACACAGTATTTGAAGTTTTACATTAGATGGACTACCTGTTCCAATTTTAGTAAAGTTTACTTTCCAAGAGGAAAGTAGAAAGATAATTCCTTTCCTCACTCAGTATTTTCTTGATTAGCATTGCAAGGGGTATATTTAGGCAGAAGTTAAACGAGGAATAGGTTCAGGGCAATGATAAGTAGATACGAAAGATGTGCTTTGTATGGAAGAGCACTAATGTAATTGTTCTGAGGTCCGAACGCTGAATGTCATTTTCAATCGCGCACCTTTAGTCGTGACGATTTTGAATCGCGGTCATACCTCGGAGCAAGAAATGGCGCAGCAGCTGATACAAATGGGTGAAATTCACGCTAAGCGTAATTAAACAATCAGCGTTGAAGAGCCTGTCGTCACAGGACGGGGCGTGTGTTGGACCATGAAAGAAAAACGTTCTTTCCTGTTCTCGCTACGACTAGGTGCTCGTGCTGATGTGATTGTAAGACGTTACGACGTAGTGTATTTTCCACTAAGGAAGGAAAAGAATCCATCGTGGTGAATAGACACCGTAATAACTTTAAAGGGCTCTTTACTATTGAGCATTTTATATTTATTCTTAAATTCTATTTGGATTGATCACTTAGGGCCTAGATTACAAACTAGATACTTACGAGTAACATACAATGTAGACTTTCACGGCCGGTTTCTACATATAATTAGTTGTTTCCGGGTTTGTAGGCCGTTGGACCACGGCCTACAAACCCGGAAACAATTAATTATTATGTAGATACTTACGAACTAATCTAAATGTACTTTGTCTTACATCCTAACTTACTTTAACACCGACCACTATTTACATTATTTACACAGTGCAAAGCATACACTTATAAACGCATGAACTCATATACACACTATTTACACTTTCACGCTACGCCGTCGCCCTCGTTTTAAGCGCGACTGCAAGAGCCTTCCACAACGCCTCCTCTCCCGCCGAGCACAGGGGTATTGTCCAGGTGTTCGCACCCGCATGTACTCGACTGGGACAAGGTCGGCCTGGGCAATGTGGCGAAATTGGCACGCGGCGCTGCGCGCAATTGCCTCGGCGACAATACACTCATGAAGTGCGCGCGTCTTGTCGCCGGAGGTAAACGTACGGGAGAATGCAAAGGGAACACGTGAGGAATATGCGAGGAACATGTGACAAACGTGCGAAACAACATGCGTAGGAATATGGGGGGAGGGACATGCAGGGAAACTCAGGGGCAGGTTGAGCCCGAGTTACGGTTCGTTAAGCAGTATTCTTCAAAATGAGACCTTTTGTACCTTCTTTTCCATTTTGGAGATTTAGCTCTTCTGGGTACTCCCCTCCCTCCAACTCCATAGGCAGGGTGGTTACAATCTACTAGAACTTCGAAATTTGTGTAAAATTAAATTGATACGTCAATAAGCTCTACATGAGAGGCCAAGGTTCAGTGAAGTGTACAATAATATTGAATACATTCAGACACTTTAAGTCAACCAACTCTTAGAATTTTAAATTATGTTAAGCATTTACATATAACTAACCGTTGAAGAGGGGTAATGTTCCAGATGAAGAGGGTTAATGTCCCAATCTTTTTTATAGTTCTTGGTAGCAAATGAATATTTTTTCATAGTTAATTTCATTACACAAATAGTAAATTTTTATCTTGCAATACCTTTGTCGGTGAAAACGACCTGTCATGACGCTCTGTTTATTGTAATTTTTATCTATTGTATTTCCATTCACTCAGTATTTAAAGACAATTAAAAGTCTAATATTCCAAATCGCGACGTCAATGCAAGTACAATGCAAGTCGATGCTCACTAATTGGTAAATTCCAGTGGTGCTGATCGACTGGGAGGTAAAATGGAGACACAAACTTGAAAAGTGTTTTCCTTCATCTGGGATGTTGACCTCTAATCATAGCCTCTGGGCACATACCAAGGAGCAGTAGAATGAATATTTTATAAATGAGTCTATCAGAAATTTGCGAAATGACTGTTCCGTTTCACATTTCACATAAATGTTTATAACTCTTCGCGATTAGTTCGTATTGAAGAGCACATTATCTTTTTTTTAAACATATTAAATATGCTGAAATCTCATTCTCATCTGCTGTCCTCGATCTGACAGTTACTGAGAATAAATATACGTCATTATATACTTTGAGTTGTAGATAATGATTGTATCTGATCATCGTGAAATGAAAGACACTGTCCAATCGTCATGAAACTATTATAGTATTTCCTTTGAAATTGTAAGGGGAGTCTTTCTTAGAAATTCTTAAAGGAGACGTGGACTATGGACACAGTCAACTCACATTGAACATTATTATGCCATGTCATTGCTGCTTGTGTACACAATTCGTGCTGGTTTGTCAAGAACATGTAAAGAGCACTAGCTTTCTAAGAAGATTCTAAGAAGCCATTTATTCTTTGCTGCAATTTTTTTGTAGGCTCTCAAAAGTAGCATTTCGTTGGTAATTTTTGTTGTTGTTTTTGTCATTGGCGAACCTAAACACATCTGCTAGCACATCATTAATTATCGATAATATCTTAAGAATTTCTCTGTAATTATTTCTTTTTTAAATATAATTGATTACGTAACTAATTTCTTTTTCTGAACGAGACATCATCAAGTACTTCTGTCATTGGTACGAATTCATTCAGAGTAATTCTAAAGATGTTTGAAAATTTACGGTTATTATTATGGTATTGAAGATGTCAATGAAATTATGATGTAACATAAAAGTAATAGTTTTGAAGTTGACGGATTCGTATTTTTTCAGTTTTAAAACAGAAAAGCAATTCTATTCTTACGAGAAATACAACATATGTATCATGTATGTTATGAATATCAAGTGAAGTATTTCAAATGGTTTGCCGAAACAAATTTCTATTTTCAAATTTCTTTTTTCATCTTTAACGTTCGTGAATCTAAATCTAAGAATCAAACTATCAAATCCATTAATGTATGGTCTCTCATGATGATGGAATGAACAACTTGTTCTTGGAAATAACTTCTGCTGCTGTCCGAAAGACAATGTGGAATACAGTTTTGATGTATGCAACTACAAAGTAATATTCTGTTTTCATTTTCTTAAATTAAATAAACTGATGTCTAATTATGTGTGGTATATGTATAATGGTAAGTGAATTATGATGTAATGTAAAAAAATTCTCGATTTTTTTTAGTTCACTAAAAATATGATTCCCATTACACAATTTTTTGTTCAATAATACGAAACAATCACGAACCGCTGAACTCATTTTCAAATTTTGTTAGTTTTTTTCCTTTAAAAATGGAAAATGTGTTCTTTAACAATCATAAAAAGCAAATTATTTGATAATAAAGATGCTTCTTTATATAATTATATATTTTGAAAAGATAAAACATGAAAGAAAATTGATTTTTACTTCAAATTAATGAAAATGTTTGAAGGTATTGCAGTCTAGCCTATGGTGTTGAGAAAATAGCTTGTTGATTACGTGAGCATGCAATTTACGAAAAGGAAAATACAGGCTTATTGCTGCTGTTATTTAATCTGTTGATAACCGTGACTTGATTTATTACATAATATCCGCGCACTTTTTCGGGTCCACAATATGTGGAATTATCCATGTTGGCTACGCAGTAATTCATAACCAGTAATTTCAGCCACAGAATTCGTTCACTCTGAGCATAAAATCTCTTTCATCCGAATGTTGATATTGCCTTTGCAAATCACTGAAGCGGAATCGCTTGGCCAGAGAATGGGACCGAGTTTATACAAGCGACGTTATTGAAAAATCAGCAAAAGATCACGCGTGACGGAAGAAAAACAAATCTTGCCGCATTTTGGGTAAACGTGAGGCATGCAAAGTGTCGTAGTAATATTCAGTCATTGTCATTCAATTCAGGATATATGTACGAAGTTAAATTGACGAGTGTATGCAGTAATGGAAATAAAATTAATTGTAACGCAAAAGTTAGAACAAATAATAATGCCAAAAGTTAATATGAATATATAAAAAGTAGAGCTGACATTTATTAGAAATATTAAGTAAAATCGAGCTAGTTAGCTTCAGATCGTCACATTCTTTGTAAAATATTATATAATTGCACTCCTCATTATTCCATAACACAATTTTATTGCGATCCAAGAAAGGTAGATCGCGTCTTTTCTCTTCTATTGCATTCTGATTTATTACCGCGATAATATTCCTTTCTAGTGAAATGACACGCTTAATGCAGAAACACTGTGCCATCTTAAGTCAATGGGTTGTGGATTTGAATATCGCGTTCACAACTCACAATGACGGAGATCGTTTCTCGCACAGCCTAATTTCATCTGCGCATTCCACATTCCATTTCAATGACTTCATACGCGCTAAAAATGCTACTGTTTTACATTAAATGTATTATTGTTATCCCCTCACACATTTAACTTCTGTTTAGCTCAAGAGATATTTTCATAGGGGTTCTAACGTGATCTGTTGTTCCAGAATACACACCTGCTAATAAAGAAATATATACTCGTATGTTACGGCTAATATGGGTAATTCGCGATATTACTGTTTGATAACTACGTTATCTAAAATAGGTAGATAAAGATGACCTAGGAACAGCTTGGAAGTATGTTTCAGACTGAAGCCCGATGATGTGCACGTTAGCCAACACGAAGTGGCTAAAGTGAGTTAAATATATTACGACGAAAAATAGCAGATATTATGTGACGAACAAGAACCAGATTGCTACTGGGAAGTTTCTAAGGCTAGTGAGAGAGTGTGCAGTTTTGTGTTGGGACAGTCGTAAATTTCTATTTGGAATATACCACATAACATAATCTAACTTGAACTCACCATATGTCATTACCAAGTCATTTTTTATGCCAAAATGCTTCTCGCGAATGCTCATGATGCATCTCACTCAGATGATCACTTTAATTTAGCCAGCGACCTTGGCTATTTCTCGAATTAGCCGAATAAAATCAGAAATAATCCGTTCATCATCATTCATACAGATTTATCCAAACAGTCTGGCTAGTGTGTGAATAAGACTGCTAATTCGCAAATTTGCCTTATTTTGGACTTCAACCTTTATGCATATACCAATATTGTTTGCCATGCTTATCTAAATATTTTATTGATTCAAAAAATATATGGCTTCAGAAAAGGTGTCAAACTGTGAAGCTATAATGAAAATTACTACATAAAATTTAATATAGTTGGATACAGGAAACAAATATTTGGGAATATTGCAGATTCACAAAAAGCCTTCAATACAGTAAATCAGACTATTCTGATTGAAAACAGCAAGAACCCCTCTACAAAAGAAATCACTTTAATATGTTTGAATCATCCTTAAAAAATATTAAAATGAATAGTACCGTATTACGGTGTACACTTTCTCTTATATACATAAATAATTGATTAGTAATTTAATTGAAACAAATTTCTGGTTCTATAAATTCATATTCAGTTGGCAAAATACCAGTTTTCAGTGGTGAGATTCCAGGTTAATAAGACATTGATTAATAATGAGGTGTTTAAGAATAAAAACATAGACAAGAATATTATTTATGTATGATTGACTGTATACAAATCTTCTTTCCATGAATTGTTAAAACAGCTTCTAACTCATATTTTGTCGAAAAATATATAATACGAACACTTAAAATCGTCACATATTTGAATCTATGATTTCACTTCAGTCGGATGTGATTTAATTAAACTGCAACAAATTCAAAAAGCATATTGAAAGATACTTCGACAATTTTAAGAAGGTGGATTTTTTTCATTACGTACAAATAATGTATCCTTTGTTAATTTATTTTCATTTCAATTGGTTTAATCGCCTTAATTTGTAATAGGTTGCGTCCACACGATGCCTCTTACAGTGCTCCATGAAAGTCTCTCCGCAGTGGCACCTGGCTTGTGAGAGTGCTTGCCACTGAAATTGTTGGTAGTGCGAAATGCAGGTTGAAAACTTAAATTAAGTACTCACCGCAATCATAATAAACGCTGGAAGTGATGTCCCCTACACTTGTTTTCCAGTGTAGAAGAACAAGAGTAGGGAACTTTTCTACATACTATGGTACTTGCGATAGCGCATGTAGCATACGCGTTTCGGGCACGTTTCTCTTCTCGGAAAGAAAAGTCGCGTCTCTTTCCGGAGACGACAAGGAAATATACGTGTAGTTCGACATGCGTTTTTCAACTTTACGCACGCAATTTTATGTCAAAGAGACGCAAAGTGTGCGCATAGCCTTCGTTTTTTGAATCAACTCTTGTTTGGTATCACTTTATATATTCGGGTGTAAATAATTATTATTTAACGTTTTGTAGGAAAGGTAGAGTGATACAAATGTTAACACAAAGCGAGCTGTACACGCTATAATGTCAAGAGAAAATTATTTTAGCGAGTAATGACTTCGTGAAGCATATAAACGATTACGTCCGGTTATTCAATGTTTTATTTTTACAATACTTGCGTTATGTTGATACGCAGGATTACCACTCTAGGGCTTGTTATTAACGTAGACGAATAGGTCAATAATTAAATGAACATGTCATGTCATACATGTGATGAATATTAGCCATCGAAACAAAATAAACGACGGCTTCAATATCTTTAAAACTATTCACCAGTAAAATGCAAATTTTTCAGATGAGACTTTTTCGGGCACTCTGACGGTACCGGAGCGACAAGTGCGAGTGATTTATCATTGCCATATCTTCTGTTCTTAAATCCGCTTGGAAAACAGAGGGAGCCTTCCTCTCTTTAATATAAGCAAATGTCGATTTCGCACAAAATATCACGTACTGTCATTATTTGCACCGAGAACGCGTTAAGACTTCACGAGTAGAATTGAACTTGTCTAAATGTATTTGTTCACTTAACTAAGATACTGACGATTTTTTTAGAATTGTCACTTTTGTCCTCATGCCTTCAAATACGTACACAAGATGTCTCAGAAGAAATGGTGCAAACTTTTGAGGCCTATAGTGAAGACGGAAATGATCACTTCAGAGTGATCCGTCAAACATCTTTTCTTACGCGGTAGCCTGAAAATTAGTGAAAATGTCATTGTGTAACTTTGTTATGTGCAATTTCTCGTGCATGTTGCGTATCAAAAAGTAATCATTTTTCAAGCCCCTGCATGCCCTAGACGTTTGTAACATTTATTCTGGAACATTCTGTATTATTTATACTTATTAAGTACTAATTACCACTGGGTATATAACCGATACAAATAATTATAATGAACTTGTATGTAATTATCTGTAATAGGCATAGATAATTAATTATTAATTATAATTCTCTCCATTCGTCACATGTACGTGTTCGTGCTTCGGTCGATATATAATTGAAACTTAATTTAATTGCGAGTAAAGAAACTTGAGGCTCGGCGGCGTTGAGCTGACAGCGCGTGTGCGCGCGCGCTTGTGTGTGTGTGCAGGGTGCGGATCGGCGGGCCGGGCGGCGCGCGCCTACACATCAGCGCCGTGTCGCGTGAAGACCGCGGCATGTACCAGTGCTTCGCTAAGAACGACTACGAGATGGTGCAGGGCACCACGGAGCTGCGGCTGGGCGGTGAGTGAGCACCAGGGGCGCGCCAGTGCCCCCCCCCCCGCGACGCGATCGCCGCGCACGGAAGATTGATTGATTCGTTATTTTGTGTTTCCTACTAAAATGATTGTTAGTCCCGCTAGTCTCGTGTGTGTGTGTCATAAATCTGAAGGTGGAGATGATTCTCCCTGGTGGAGTGTGAGATCCGGCGCCGACCTATACGTCGGTTTGCTAGGTTTCTCCGTTCAGGGATAACCGAAACAAGCTCTACGCTTCTGTCATATGTAGTGCTTGGAAGTGTAAATGTGTATTGATTGATTGGTTGATTAGGTCATGTTTCTGGCATTTAAAATGCTGTGACCATTATCCCCGTAAGTGAAGTACTTGTTTTTATCACGAGAAGCGGCGGTATACTCCCCCGCTGGCGACCTACACAATCTGCTGCCGCCCTGCACATCGGATTGCGGGGTTTTCCCCGCCCAAGTATTTCTCACCAGCGGGGCATCGCCCCAGCAGGAAGAAACTCTAAGCTTTTGAGTGGTCACCCGACATGTGTGGTCATGCCGTGCATGTAAGGGTAAGTGTGTGTAAGGGGGTTAGAATCGCGCGCAGTTCGTGACTCATTTGTTAGTGTACTGCTCCGGCATTTGACTGGTGTTTATGAGAGAAACAACGAAAAAGTACCAGAGGAATCGGCTGCGAGAATATTCCTCCCTACACCCTCTGAATTAGGCTCTGAATTAATCTAGTTAGTATAAAAAGTGCTGCAACATTCGTGCCTCAAAGTCTTCGACCTCCCGGTCAAAGACACTATGAATGTGTAAGGAGAGAGGAGAAACAGACAAGGATGAGTCAGGAGAGGTCGCGGTCGATATGTTTATTAGGGCCCTGTTCCGACATTCACTTGGTAGTGGTCCATAAAACACGTAAAAAACATAAGAGGTCATAATAGGAGGTCTTAAACCTTTGCCCTTTCACAGAATAATGTTTGTGAACGTCTTTCCAATCCAAAATTGCTGAAAACCATTTAAAACATATAGAGATGTAGTGGATTCAATTGTTAAATTGAAACTTAGGTGCGGGTTACGATTTGAAAAAATATTCTATTAAGTTGCAAAAATTACTTAAAGAGACATCTTTTTCATTACTTTCTCTCAGGAGGTTACCTCTGAGAGACTTCCACATATTTCAGTAGTGTTCATTCATTCACAAAATATATTTATTTTAAAATACAAGGAGTATTTTCTTTTATATACCGTACTGCGATGAAGATAAAAACTGCTACAATTCTTTCGTACGTAATTTTGAAGAGAACTGATCTTTTGAAACGTTTTCATGTGCTTTTGGTTTCCCCATATTTTCTCCATTATAAGAGTCTGAGATAATTGATAGTAGTAACCGAAGATTATTTAAATTATCTGTGATGGTATTATTCGAAAATATGTAGTTATTAAATTAGTTAATTACTATTATAATTTATAATAATGTATAATTAGTTCATTTCACATTAGAGTTTTTTCTTAGAGTCAAATTATTGCTCTCAAACAATTGCGATGGACGTAGTTCTTCTGTTCGTCTGGTTTTTGTTGCTTGATAAAATCTCAAGAAAATACAGTTATAGGGCGAAGTTATTTCCGCTGTGGTGATAACTAGAGAATTTAATTTTTTTCTAAAAACTTTAATACGCCTCCATAATTAGTTTCGAGGCTTTGCCAACATTGTTAATATTGCGTTTCCTCTACCATTAACTTTTTATGACTCACCGCTTTCTTGCTATGCCGTTATCAGCTTCTCCGTTCCATGCGACCACGCTATTTGGCTTTTGAGAACTAGCTTTATTAGTGCTGGAAAGTTGGTTCACACCGATATTAAACTCGTGAGGCATTCAGAGATTGGTGCCAAAATTCAAATGTGTGATGAAGATTCATTACTCGCATTCCAGTAAATATAATCGGACGAATTGTGGAACGTTGTAGTTTCTACTTGTTGTGTGGTACGAACTGACTTTCAGAGCCCCTTTTGTTTGCGTCGCTCAGAGAAGACAAACCGAGAACACGGAAATGGCAAATCGTCTGCATTTCAGAGCTGTCCTGTCCCCCAGAGTTCTGACGCTTCGCACCTCCGTCCGCGATTATTGCAGGCTCATCTGCGAGACAGAACGATTAGAGGCGTTCGCGGGGACGCCGGTGTGCCGAATCTCTTTTATATTGTCGAATATCAGCGTCCGGTGCGGACGCATCGAGTGGGAATCGACGTGTAGTTGCCCCTAATCCGACAATTGCTCGTGTTCCGCAAGCGCCGTGTCGGTCTGTAATTCGTGTAATTTAGGAGATAACCCTGCGCAGTCTTGGCTGGCGGCCAGTTAAGGGCACGATTTCTGGCATGTGGCGCTGAACACGCGACAGAGGCGAGGGCTGCCGCGGTGCTTGCGGCGGCGAGGGCGTTGGAGGTGGCGGCGGCGGCGGCGGCGGCCTGGCAGATAGCTGCAGCTGCCCGCCTATTTCTTAACGGCTTGGACGTGAGGGCTTGCAGCCCTTGCCGTTCGGCTGTGCCATCCGCGGCTGGGGCCTTCCAGAAACCCTTCCTTCGCTATCAATCTGCGTGTCTTTAACCGTCGTCGCCATCAGAAACACCTCCAAAATTTGGACCCCCTCAATTGGAGGTGGACTGGAGTTGTTGAAACCACCAATAACATTCGTTGTGCTGATGTTACAACTTCAAATGTTATTGATAGTTGATTGTCAGATTTTTTTAAGTTTTTGTTAATCGATTTAAGTGCAATTGAACACATCCATATACTTTCGTGAAAATATATAAATAATCAAGGAAGAATCAAAAATCCTACCACTGTAGGGTCTCGAAACCTAGGGCCTCCTGGTCAAAGTCGCTGTAGAGAGAGCGGCAGTGTTCCTAGAGTGGTGGTCGAACACCCGCGTGTCGAAGCTGGAAAATGGTGCCTCGCCGATGCGCCAGCCTTACCACGGCCGCCCTCACCCCTCAACCGCCCAATGTTGCGCAACTGTTGCGCGTTTGTCCGTGCAGCGCCAAAATGTTGAGTTTTCTCGGAAAGTAGTAACGAAGTCCAGTTTTCTCAGTAACGAAAATTTGTGTCGAGAAGCCATTTGCACTCAACTTCCTCAAACGACTATAAGAGTCTGCATTTTTTTAGAATAAATATAATTTTGAATCACTTATTGGAATTGTATTTCTTCACATGAATTACATGATTGATTTACTGTTTAAAAGCTATTACAATTGCGGTTCTAATGATTTCGGTAAAATGCACCTTTTATCTTTTACAATATTCGTCGAAATAAATCTAATCTGGTATAATGAGGATACTTTGATTCGCAAAATGAGGTAAAATGTGAGCAATTTGAATAGAATTGTCAAACCAATACAGGGGCAGACATGGGGTGGGGGTATAAGTGCCACAGTTCTGGAATTGCTATCAGAGGTGGTAACGAAATAGCCTCTTGTGATACGGACTAAAGCACGAAGTAATGAAAAGCCACATCACCCATAAAAGACACCTCACGATTTGATGCTACAACTGTGCAGACCGAAACAAAAACAGTACGTGTATATTTTGTCAGAGAAGGCAAGTAAGAATGCACTGCACTAAAATTTCTGACCACAGGACACAGCTACTTGCCTTGTGACATAATTGGAAAAAGGAAACAGCGTCTTGTCATTATACCTCAATAGATTCAAGATCTAGTAAGAAGTGCTCCAGTAAATAAATATATCAACGTTATTCTATTGGCAAAATACGATTTCTTTGAATTTGGTGTTAAAGCAGATCAATTTACACAAATTTCTGAAAAATTGCAAATAAGCACAATCTTATAGTTGAGAGTGGAAAAGTCTAAACTTGATAATTTGTTGGTAGCAATGAAACAGTGATATAAAAAAACTAGAACAAAATGGGAGTGATAAAATAAATCAATCTTATTCCAAACTCAGAATCATAAGCGAGACTCCCCCGTGTGATTTCTGAGTATGCACTCAGTACAGAAAAGACGGTTTTAATGGCAATGTAATAGTCCATGGAAACCAAATACAACAATTTTTACAATACATTTGTACCAAATAAGAGAAAATTATGCTTTCATCTTATTAGATCATTACTTATTCATGATCTTACCGACTGACATGTAGATCAAATAAATAATTAAATACAAAAATCATTTTGAAATCAGAAGCGGCCCTTGACAGTTTTTCTAATTTTTCTCTAAAACACTTTTGGTACATATACTTTCCATCTCCAACCTTTGCTGAACTGAGATATTTAAAAATAGATTAGTTTGCTTCGTTCACACGAGTGGACGTTTCGTTTAAAGCGTTCGAAAACAGATGATTATTTCCGAATACCGATTTGTTTTTGCAAAATTTATTCTTCCTCCAGCCAGAAGGACCGAGCGCCCACTGATAATACATTGAACGTGTCAGTGTGTCCAGAAGGCAAAGTAAGGGATAGTTTTACAAGTGATTTAGTTTGTTTAGATTTCGTCATTGAATATAATATTGTAAGAATTGACATATATCATGTCGGAAAACATGTGAAAATATTAATATCAATTCTTTCACTGTGGTATTGGAAATACGGACATGCATTTCAACTTTCACCAAAATTTACAATATACCAACCGTTAAAATGTAATTCATGTAATATTTATTTAAATAGATTTGGAATGTAAGTACTTTTCTTACATTTTTTTACATAAATACATTAGATTCACGAGAGTATTATTTAGTTTGGCGGAGTGACGAAGTTAATATGGAATTCCAAAATTATCACTTTCATCTCTGAACAAAATATTTCTCACAGCATCAGCTTTTTGATTCATATTTTTGTGATTTATTAAATACAATAATATTTGTCCTCCAAATAGTTTTTACCACTTCAGATGTAGCTAAGAGCTGTTATTTCCTGAGATGCGTGTGTAGTTTGTGAGATACGGAATATCAAATCAAATATGCATAGATTTCAATAAACCGTACTACCATACTAGATACCGATC